GTTCATGAGGTATTCTTGGCAAAGACACTGGAGTGGCATTGCCAAATCCTGCTTCAGGTGGATTATGTTTAGTAAAACTCTCCACTATGATCTGTCCGTCTTGGGTGTCCCTGCATGGCATAGCCCATAGCTTCTCTGAATTACTCAAGCCCCTTCACCATGACAAGGCAGCTAGCATCTTATCTAGTTTGGCCCTTATATCAGCTACTAGGAAGCATAAATGGGAGACAGTTGTTGCCTTCATATTGCATTGTGGGCTTCCTAGAGGCATCTGGTTGGCCATAGTGAGAAGCAGAATGTTAGACAAGATCATCTTGGTTCTTCAGTTCAGTGCTTGCAAACATTTTGGATTACAGTTAGAGGTGGGGGTATCCATATTTGTATACAGATACGAATATCCCCCCACAGGTGCAGATAATGAGTGTCTCTAACGATTCTATTAGCCTCAGCCATTATAGCTAATGGGAAGAAATGATGACATCTGTAGTCCAAAATACCTGGGGGACATTGGTTTGAGGAAGGCTAGAGTAAAGTGACCCAAGACTGCAACTGTTACATACAGCTTTGACATCACCTGCCCGTCACTGCTGAAGCTGTGTGTCATCTACCAATGGCGTGATGGAGGGTGGGACATAAGGGGTGGAGCTGTTGTATATAAGGGGAGTGAATGGTGTGAGAGATTCAGATAGGGCCAGATAGGGCTTGGAGATAGGGTTGAGATAGGAAGTTCCTATCTTGGAACTTGGAGATACTGAGAGATAAGAACTGTGCTATATAGTGAGAGTCTGTGAGAGTGTGTGTGTGATTGTTATATTATTATAGTGATTGCTTTATTATTTATATTCAAGTGATTTACCATTCCTTTTGTTTGTACACAATAAACCTAAGTTTTTATTTTGAAAGCATACTTTGGCCTGAAGCTTTATTTGAGGGAATGGTTGGTGGCAGTGGAAACGAAGAGTGATTGAGTGTGACGTAACGGCCCCTTTGTGAGGTATAAGGTGGCTGTTACAGCAACTGATCCAACAGGACAAACTCTTCTTATCAGAAGCTGCCATGGTTTTAACACTTATAGGCAAGAATCCTGTTACATACAGATGCTGGCATAAATTTCAGTGACAAATTTTCACAGCGAAGAAGTCAGTGCTTGTTTTTCTTGTCACCCACAAGTCACATGACTGCTACATAACAAGAAAAACAAGCAGCAACTCTAACTGGTGGTGATTCAGTACTGAAATTTACTTCACCTGGTAGGAGTAACAGAGATTGAACCACAATATTGAGAAATTGGAGACACTGGAGATCAACATGTTTATCTCTAATATGAAAAAGACAGAAATCATCTTTAAAGCACCAGCAACTGCTAATTCTGGGATAATGGAATAACATAGGTGCATTCTCCTCCATATTGCCTTTGTCCTTTAGGCATTTCAGAAGACCACTTCTCCACAGAATAATCACACTGGGTGTGGGATGAATGCAGTTTTACTGACAATAAACAATAATTCAGTCTTTGAATTATAATCTGTGGATACACTCTACTGAATGTTTTGTCTCTCATTCAAGTAAAAATATTGAGAAGATGAATTGCTGCTACTTCTTTTGTTTCTTTCTGGGAATCCTTATCAATATTGTGTCTGTTGGTTACATGGTGCCCTTGAACACTTGAAACTGAAAGCCAGTTCAGAAATTATTAAAGCTAAGGAGGTTTTGAGAATGTTACATATTGTGCAGGAATGTATTACAGAAGAAGTCTACTCAAAGGTTTTCTTGAGATGAGCTATGTTACTCGAATCTGGTATATTTTATATTAAGATATCTCTGTTATCTTTTCCACAGTCATGCTTTCTTATGCTTTGTAGTCATGAAATATATATTTTGCAGAACTCTAAGTTTCAAGAGCTACATGGAGTTCCCCTTACTTGGCATTTCCCCAGCATATTGCAGCTTTTTTCTACAGTCAACTACATATAGTGGCTCATGTCTTCTGTGTTCTGGGATATTCCCCCCTATTCAATAATAGTATTAAGCCTCCTCCCTCAAATTATTAATAACAGACAGACTACATGCAGGTTATGCATGGGCAAGTTACGTTCATTTCAGAACAACTTTCAGTATTTGAAACCTAGATGCATGCATACAGATCCATCTTAAAAATTAGAAGATAATCCATGAATAGAGCAGGAAACAGAATTGCATCCACTGATATTACTGCATGTCCTCAATCACACATGCTTGCAAACATACATTTATGCATGTCTACTTGCCTAACACCAAACCAACAGATTCGTTTCCAGAAATGTGAAAGAAATGCTAAACTATTTTTGAGTTTATACTCAAAGGCTTTCACGGCCAGGATCTGATGGTTGTTGTGGGTTTTTCGGGCTCTTTGGCCGTGTTCTGAAGGTTGTTCTTTCTGACGTTTCGCCAGTCTCTGTGGCCGGCATCTTCAGAGGACTGGAGTAGGAACTTTGTCCATGCTCTGTTGCTGGTTGTTGGATAGTATTTGGGAACGCCTTTTGTCTTTTTTCAGGAGATAGGGTGATCAGCATGTTTTTGTTGTGATGGGGGGGAGAGGGAGAGATTATCTGTCACTGTGATTGATGGGTGTCATTAGCTGGTCTTTTTTGTGCAATGATCTCTAGTCCTTGTGACTGGGTAAGAGTTTGTTGACCTTTTACAGGTGGTATTTTTCAGAATGGGGTGCCAGGCCGTGTTTAGTTTCACGCCTTCTTCTTTCCTGTTGAAGTTTTGTTTATGTTTATGGATTTCAATGGCTTCTCTGTGCAGTCTAACATACAGATTGCTGGCGTTGTCCAGTACTTCAGTATTTTGAAATCAGATTTCATGTCCAGCTTGTTTAAGGGCATGTTCAGCTACTGCTGATTTTTCCGGTTGTTTTAATCTGTAGTGTCTCTCATGTTCTTTGATTCTGGTGTGAATGCTGCATTTTGTGGTCCTGGTGGTGGGTCTGAATACTGTTTGTAGGTTGTGTTTTTTCAAAAGTTTCCCCAGTCCTCTGAAGATGCCGGCCACAGAGACTGGCGAAACGTCAGGAAGAACAACCTTCAGAACACAGCCAAAGAGCCAGAAAAACCCACAACAACCATCACTGTGGTTGATGGGTGTCGTTAGCTGGTCTTTTCTGTGCAATGATCCCTGGCCCTTGCCTGCTGGACAAGTGTCTCTTCAAATTGGGAGAGGCCATGCTGCACCGCCTGCCTCCAGGCTGAACGCTCAGAGGTGAAAGTTTCCCATCTGTTGAGGTCCATTCCTAAGGCCTTCAGATCCCGCTCTGGATTTGTACTGAATGCCTAACCAATATATTTTGCCTCCATGGGAATAAACTTCACATAGAGTAATTTAAACTCAAAGGCCAATTCAAATATAAGGCATGTTAGAGTTTGAAAGATGGCAAGCTGCACCAATTGTAGGGACTCCCTAGCCCCAAATGATTTGGAATGTGGGTCAGAAATGAAATTCAGAATGGTTACCAATAAAATTTGTTTGGGACACTGGAATATCAAATATTAAATTTGGGTGGGGCCACGTGGCTGTAAAGATGATGGTGAACTACAAATTGAATCAGATCCACACATTATAACTAATAACAAGGGGTAATGGGTGTTGTAGTCTAGAAAAATCTGGAAAGCTGCAGATTCCCCATACTGTTACAGAATGTTCTGAAATGAGTTTTATCTCGGCTATGTAGAGAAAAAAATACTACCTCTGTTTCTGCCTTCCTGAGTACAGACCACCTCTGGAAAATAAAACTCTCTCTCTCTCTCTCTCTCTCTCTCTCTCTCTCTCTCTCTTGTGTGTGTGTGTGTGTGTGTGTTGGGTAGGCCATCATCGTTTTTATTTATTTAATTGACAACAGAAAGGAGACAAAGCATTAAAGGTTATTATAATTATATTTACTTCCATTTCTTTTCATTAACAGCATTTTGTTAACTTTCTGAATCATGCAGTGTTGCTCTGACCTATATTTTTCAATGCCTAGAAGAATAATGCAAGAACTGAAAGGCAGTAATTTTGGTCTTAAATTTTGAACTTTGAATGGTTGTATTTTTAGTGCATAATCGAAAGGTGCTTGTTGAAGGGAAAAACAGGTTTAGGCCAACTAATAAGAATAATTTGGAAAAAAACAAACCTTTTGTGAGTTTCCGCCCAATTGTTCATCTTTTAAATTTATAAGAACATTCCTCCCTTTTAAATTGATAATTATGCAATATCAGTGTCTATTAGTCTATTAATATCAACAAAGTATCTTACACTCTTTAAGATCTTATGAATTCCCCCTAAGTAACAATGAAAGTAACTTTAAGATAAAGAAATCTCATTACAATAGAATGATGTCACCGCTTGTGTTCTGAAATGGAATCTAAGCTGCTTTTCATTCCAAAGGCTATCAGAATATACCCTGTTGGATCCTTAAGAAATATTTGGGATTCCTTGGAAACTTAAAATCCTTGGAAACTATGTATGAGACCTGGCGGCTGATGTCGTTTCCAAATGGGAAAAAGTCTCGTAGAGAAATTTGACAAACATGGAACAACTGTTCTGAAGAATGTGGCTTACAGTTTTCAGACTGAGTGACAATACTTGTCTTAGGTGTTCAGCTTCTCAAGGAGTAAGAACTACTGCATTACCCTAGAGCATTAGACACTCATGTTTCCTCTGTACTGTATAATTCAAAAAAATTAGCTCACATATCAGTTTGTAGAATAGAGTCCTAGTACATCGATTAAAGCAACCAAACAGTTCCATATACACTACTGTTGCTTCTGTTATGTGCCATCAAGTTACTTCCAACTTAGGGCAGCCCTATGAATGAGCAATCTCCAAAATGCTCTGTACTCAGCTTTGTGGCTTCCTGTAGGGAGTCAGTTCATCTCGTATTGGGTCTTCCTCTTTTCCTGCTGCCTTCCACCTTTTCCAGCATCATTGTCTTTTCCAGAGAATCCTGCCTTCTACTGATGCTAGAGTAGTCCCAGCATCATTGTCTATTCCAGAGAATCCTGTCTTCTACTGATGCTAGAGTAGTTCTATTGATTTATGTGCAGCTACTTTTGACTTGCTTGGTAACTGGTACCTCTTCACTCTGAATAACATCAGTGTGTAGGAACTGCATATTTTCACAGATCACATTGCTGCTTGGAAACAAAAAGAAAATTATGAACATTTTATTTCCTTTCGCAGATCAGCTGCTCATAAAAGTCTTCTAACCTACCTTAAGAAATCACGCCATCTGAGTGCCAGCACCTCCATACAAATGGAATTTCATCTTGCTCACGAATTTGGGTCAGCAGCAGATGTTGGCGAATTCCTATAGACTGTGCGCCCAGCGGGGAGGCATTTGTTTTGTTTTATTTTAAAGTGGCAGAAATCTGCTCACTACTCTTGCATTATCTGCAACAGCTGAGCAATCTTTTCAGTGCCACGGGGAGATTGAAAACTTGGCTGAGAACTAGCATGGACAAGCTTGCCTTAGTCATATTGCTCTTTTACATTTGCACAAGACATCAACACTGACAGTGCTATAGTCAAGCCACCATTTGCTGAAAACAACTGTCAACATTTTCAAGTTTTTGGAACCTTTTATAATGCAATCTATGTGGCAAAGCTTGTATCACTGTGTTAATCAGCTGTACTATATGCTTCCTTTATGAAGCACAGCAATGGGGAGAAGGTACTGGAGCTATGTTGGCAGCTACCTAGTTCACCTGACTGACAACAGGATGAAAAATGAATAAGTTGCATAGATTGCAGAATGGGTAATTTAATGCAAGTGTGCTTTTCATATTCTTAGCCAAGCCCTTCAGCTGCTTTGTACCTAATAACCTTTTCCCTGAGACAAAATTTCCTTTGCTTCTTCTCTGGCCAGTCTTCCAATATGCCTGCAGGGGTGGGATGGGGAATCAATTAACTACTACATGTTGATCATGAGGACTAGCAGCTTATTTACTCAGCATCATGTGGCTTGGAAATCCATTCGTTTCACTCACACTCAAATCCAGTGTGCTATTTTTCCCCCAACCCAAATTATTTACATGCTTTCCTTTTTTTTTTCCCATTACCCCAGGGCTCACTCAGCCCATTCAGTACTCACTTTCACTCAGGCAGAAATTGAACACCCTATGTGTTAGATATTTATTTCTACCTATTGCCATTTAAAAACAAAACAAAACACTATTTTCAGCCTATACTCTTTGGAAGATTTGTAGCTTAACAAGGTTTACATCACCCAAGCTTTATTTCTTCTTTTTAAAATACTGATTATAATACCCATTGTTGGGTGGTAAAAGAAAAGAAAAAATAGGCAGAAGCCTAGTGGACCACAAATGAACTGCACAGTTTGTAGTCTGTTGGAATGGATGCCAAAGGGAAAGCCTACTAGGAAGATTTGGCAAGGCATTCTGCAGACAAAGTTGCTGGGATCTACTCTGACTTAGAAGCTGCAGCTGACACAAGTCCTGCAGATATAAGCTTGTCTCCTGTTTGTCCTGTTTCAGTTTATGTATTCGGAGGGAGTGGACAGGTTCTTTGGAGTGTGAGAGCCATCACCCGTACACTGGACCAGTGCCATTGCCAGCATATATATGTGTGATGTGTGATATATATATATAAAGGGGGGGGGTGTTAAAGGCAGTGATGAATGCCATTTTGCAGTGTGCCTAAAGGAGGCAGTAATGAGACCAATGTTTAAAGAAAGCCCTCCTTGAATCCCATTGCATTGTATTGTATAATTATTGACCAGTTCTCAATATTCTTTACTTTACTTTAATTGGATTTGTACCCCGCCCCCCTAGACAAAGTCTACTCAGGGTGGCATTACATACATAAAACATAGCAAACAGCATCCTAAAAACATCTAAAACATTAAATTTTTGACAATTATATAAATCCTTGCCAAGATGGAGTGATTAAAAGAATAAGTAAAGGTCAGTTTAATTGACTGGAGGGGAAGGCCTGCCTGAAAAGCCAGGTTTTTAAATGGCTTTTGAAAATGCCCAACGAGGGAGCCAGACCAATTTCTGTTGGGAGGCTGTTCCAGAGCCGAGGGGCCACTGCTGAGAAGGCCCGGTTTCTTGTTCTTTCTTTCCGGGCCTCTCTCAGCGCAAGGCCCCTCAGCCATCCCTGCTGGCTATGTTGGGTGATTTGGGTAGAACTAAGTGGGAGAAGACGCTCTGCCAAGTATCAAGGTCCCTTCTGCCAGGTATCAAGGTCCCAAACCATTTAGGGCTTTATACGTCATCATCAGCACGTTGAAGTCGACGTGGAAACGAATGGGCAGCCAATGCAGAGCAGCCAGAGTGGGGGAGATATGCTGATATTTCCTCACTCCACTAAGGAGCCTGGCTGCCACAGTCTGAACCATTTGAAGTTTCTGCATCAACCTCAAAGGCAGCCCCACGTAGAGAGCATTACAATGGTCTAATCTCGAGATTACAAGAGCATGGACTAGAGTGGTGAGGGGGCCCCCCCCTCAAGATACGGTCGCAGCTGGGCGATCCGCCACGGATGGTAATTGGTGGAGTGGACCACTGACGCCACCTGGGTTTCCATGTTGAGCACCGTGGTCCAGAAGTATACCCAAGCTGCGAATTTCGCTCTTTGCGGCAAGGGTCGTCTCCCCAAAAGAGAGGGAATCACCCAAACCGCTAATGGAGGAACCACCCACCCTCAAGACCTCAGTCTTGTCTGGGTTCAGCCTCAACCCATTCAGCCGCATCCATTGCAGTACAGTCTCCAGGCAGCGCTGAAGGGACAGAATGGCATCCACTGAAGTAGGTGAAAAGGAGATGTAAAGCTGTGTGTCATCAGCATACTGGTGGCACGAAGCCCCACACCCCCTGATGACCCCACCCAGCAGCCTCAT